CACCACCTCCACCACCCCCACCCATGATAGATTTATCTGCGGATATTGCCGCTAGACAAGGCTCGTTGAAGGGCGGGGATGAACGCGGTGCTTTGTTCGATCAGCTCAATAAAGGTGCCGACGTGACGAAAGGTTGGTATGCCCCGGAACTTAACAAGTCACTCACCAGGTTATGTTAGGTTTGATCGAAGCCTTTCAATTGCTAATTTCTGTTGCACTTACCGGGTATCACGTGGAATCATCAAGGGGGGAGGCATGGTTCCGAGTTTTGAAATTGGATTCCTGTACTTGTGGTCGATGTTGAAATGATGAAGACTCGAAGTAACTTTCCGAGGTGGTCTTGGAGAATTGTTGCTTGTCGACGGAATTGGTTAAATTCAATATATTATGATTTTTAAAGCGCAGTGAATTTTATTTAAGCAATTTTCGGAGTAAAATTAAAATTAATGTGTTCAATTCTCGTAAATCTTTTAACGCTTGCCCGTGATATCCGGGCCTTCATTTGGTGCCACCTTTGACAGAAGTTAAATGACCCTTTTTGAAGATGTTGGGTGCCGTGAAGGCTGCTTTTAACTTTTTTTTTTCTTGGGGATGGAGACATTTGTTATTACCAATCGTCATTCTTAGAAATAGCCCGGTAATTTCAATTTCATCCTTTTTCTACCTTCTGCTGGCGGACAGAATTAAGTACTGTACATTTTTGTGATTTGCACTGTCGTCTCGTACTTTTCTAGGACTGAAGAAAGTGACCGCTGACATGCAGACTCACAAGAATCCTGAATTGAGAACAGCAAATACCGTTCCGACCAAAAGCACACCACAGCCTGTTGCGCCTGCGGCTGGACCAGGAAGTAGAATTGGCGCGGATCCGACGAAATCGCCGAATATGGAACTCGTCAATGGAAAAAAGTGGATGGTGGTACGTACGCATTTCCCAGGCTCCTGGCATTTCTCAATTGCGTGTTGAAATTATAAAATTTCATATTCATTTCAACGCTGTTCCTCGACTCGAAGAATTTTTTTTCGCCACGACATAAGCGTCGTCTGATTTACGTTATGATACGATTGAGCAGGAGTTGTTATGGTTCATCTTAGTGATAGAGATGACGCCTGTCGGCTTTTCCCAAAAATATTATAAGTGCGAAGAAGCGGGAATTCGTAGAGAAAAATGTACCAGTTTTTGAGACTATGTTCTCTTAATGGACCGTGTTACGCTTACAGGAGCATCAGAACGGGAATGAAGGATTGGTCATCAACGTCACAGCTATTAATCAAGCTGTGTACATTTTCCGGTGCACGAACACTGTGGTGCAGGTGAAAGGTAAGAAAAATTATTTCATCTCAGTTTTCGGTTCAATTTTTCTTTTTTGAGCTTTTCTCCGTTCCTCAATTTATATTTTCATATACAGTACATTACTCAAAAGTTGTATCTCAAAGGCGCAAGACTTCGTGTAGAATAAAGTCTGTGCAACTAAGTATCAAAAAGATGAGAAGAGCCATTTAGCACGTGTCTACGTGCTAAATAGATTGCCCAAGTTGTATACAGTACAAAATTGTTGACATATCGCCCATGTTGTTGATATAAAACGACGCATATTTCTTTGACTCAGGGAAATTGTCTTCTGTGGTGATGGACTCTTGCAAGAAAACCGCGGTTGTGTTTGATACACTTGTTGGTCCTGCGGAGTTCGTCAATTGCCAAAGCTGCAAATTGCAGGTGAGTAGTATTACACTTCTTATTTGAGTCACATCTTTCAGCCTCACGAAAAATGTCTTTTTTTTATTTAGATCACTGATACTGTTCCTATCGTGTCGATTGATAATTGCGACGGTATACAAATGTTTTTGTCTGCTGCTGCCAAGGATGCAGTGAAGATTGTGACTTCCAAATCGTCGGAGATGAACGTGATGGTTCCAAAACGAGATGGCGATTTTGTGAGTGTCCGTAGCTGATGATGTATTTGTAATGTTATTGTGCCGCGAAAAGTAAGCATTTTTTCTTTTCAAGTCATTAAGAACATGGTCAATACCCATATTTTCTCGAATATGGGAGGGGGGATGCTTTCTTATTGAAGTAAGTTACCTAAATACAGCATGTAAGCGTGGTGCGGCCAACTTTCTCGTAAGTGTGGCATCTTTCCGGATAGAATATAGAGAGGGAAGTTCAAAACAAGAAAATCTCATCGTTTACAAATTCCAGTGTGACACCAAATGAGACCATGTGTGCTATTACAGCTGTGCTTACGCGCACGGAGAAAAATCCGCAGCAGGTGGAACGTGGAAAGTTCAAATCCAGTTCGAATGGAATTTAAATTTCAAGCGCAAATTACATCTAATGCCATTCAAAAATAATTTTTATTGATACATTGGATGAAAATGTTTTCACTCAACTTTTTTGACTTGCTAGTTTTCGAAGTTGAACTTTTTCAGTGTCTTTTGGGGGAGTATTTAAATGCAGATTTCCTTTTTTATGTGTGTGTGTTGCAGGTGGAATATCCAATTCCAGAACAATTTTCGACGACCGTTACAGCCGACGGTTTGACGACCGTCGTCGCTGACAGCACTGGTTGAAGCCACCAAATGCAATGAATAAGTCTTCGCATGGGAAAGAAAACAGCGGTGTGATTGAATTCGACTCCTGGCTCGCTTCAAACTTATTTATTTTCGCTTCACCGATTTGTCACGGCTTTTGATTGAATACGCGTTATTTATATGCTTTATCGCGTCGTTATAGTATTTAAACGCAGACGACAGGTTCACGACAGTTCACGTCTAACAAGGCTGCGCTTGATTGCATTTCTCGGGAACGATTGAAGTTCCCCGTGAATATTTGTAAATGGCTTCCCTGCTGCGAACGGGAAGCGGAACTTTGTGGCATGACTCTGGAAGATGGTTTAAAAAAAACGGTGTCTGGTAACTAATCGCGTTGTCTGGAGAGACTGTAATTCTTTAATTGTGAAGTTCGGCTTTAGTGGTTGTATGTTGCGTCTTGTGGAATAAAGTCTGTCCCTAATTTAACTTGAAAACGTATTCTATGCTTATTCTGTAGCTTACTAGCAATGATAGCCATTTGAGCAAGAATGTCATATACTGTATGTTCAAGTACAGTATATCATATTCATTCAAGTAA